AGCGCCCTCCCTCTGTGGCTGTGGTGGTCCCCCGTGGAAACTCAGGCTCACCACTGCTCAGAACAGTGGAGCCACGGATTGAAACCTCTGAAATGGAGCCAAAACAAATCTGTCCTTCCCTGTGTATTACAGTGATGGCAATGTGGTAACACACAGTACTAAGAATGAGAAGAAAGATCTCTTCACAGGCTCCCCAAAACCCCTTGCCTACACCATCCAGAATCAAGTACCCTGTCCCTTCTCAACCACTTCCTGCTCCTACAAAATAAACGGACTTCCCATGGTCAGACAAATCAGCCTTTAACAAGAATAAAATCTTATTCTGCTACTGCAGGCCAAGAAATTAAGGCTCAGAGAAGTTGGTAATATGCCAAGCATTACATAGCTCGTGAGTAGCACAGAGAACTATGCTGGCTGAAGACAATGGGTCCAACCTTCCCATAATGTCCAAGTCTTCAGACACTCCATCAAGATCCTTGTATAAAATGGCATATAAGTCTGCATATAACCTACATACATGCCCCTCTATCCCTTAAATCATTTCTAGCTTACAATACCGGATACAAGAAAAATGCCAAAGAAGTGTTATACTGTACAGTTGAGGCAAAAATGACCAAAAGAGTATCTGTACACGTTCCATTCAGAAGCAATTATTTTAAATTATTTTCAGTCCGAAGCTGTTTTAATCCATGCGTGTAGACCACCAGAAAGAGTATTTACACATCTAGCACAAGACTTGACACTTAAAAGGTTCTGATTAAGGCTTTTGTCTTATACTCTATCTGTCTGATCACTAGTGAAGCCACCTACCACAGATTGGCTTAAATGGAAACTGTTAAAATGTAAAAGCCTGTTCCTCAGCCACAGGGGCCACATTTCAAGCATCAGTTGACACATGTCCCTAAGGATGTGGGGGTTCTCAGAGCATCTTTGCACTTCTGTTGGGCAGCACAGCGCTCTCTTATTCAGAGGTGACTTTGCATCCTCTTGTATTATTTTCAGGATCCGGGAAACCCAGAGGAGACAGATGCCCGCTTCTAGGAAGTGCTCTTCTTCCTTTTTTTCCATTCTGCTAAGCAAAGCCCAAGGTGAAAGTAGGTCTCTGCAGAGAGGGAGCTTTCCCCGATCGTGGGGCCAGAGAGGACTGCTTCCCAGGAGGGAGTTAGAACCAGAGGGTCCCTGCTTCCTGTCACTAGGAGCTCAGTCCCCAGCTCCTGTGCAGGGCTCCTGCTTGCTCTGGGGGCTCAGAGTGAATGGCAGTGATGAAGTGTTTAATGAAAGGTAAATATTTATGGCCAGTCTCCAGCAGAGGTGCTTGGTGGGTGGGTGGGTAGGTGAGGGAGCACAGGCCTGGGAGCCATGGCTGCTGTGGATCTCACCTGAGCCACTGCTGTGCCTACACTTAGCGTTATTCTCAAATCAGAGCAGGCAGGGATCAGGGGATCAAGGGACTCTTCCCAGCCCTCCAGTTCCAGAAAGATGGCAGTGTGCCTGCAGCCGGAGCAGTTTCCCTGTGCTGTCTTTGGAAAAGTCCGAGAGGCACAGAACAGCCTGGTGGGCAGTGTCCTGGAGGCACTACTGGCCTCTAGTGTAGAGACAGGGAATTGCAGGATGCTCCGTGCCAAAGCAGGGGCCCAGCCACACCTCTCTTAGCACTGGGAGGGGGCCTCCTGGACTCCTCATCAATGAGAGGGGAGGCAGCAGGCCGAGGACCCCTACAAATGAAAAGCTGTTTCTCCAGCTCCTCAGACAACATCCACACCATTGGCTGACAACGCCACCAGACCCATGTGCTTACCTTCTATAATAAACAACTAGTGATCACCCATGACCATCCTGACATTAAATCATACGGACATTTAAAACCCACCTATGCATATTAACGTCTAAACGTCATCGCAATGGCAATAGAAACAGGAAACCATAGAACTATCTGACAAATAAATAAATATATTTCAGCGTATGTATGTTCATCCACAGACCAGAACACATCATCAGATCACATGCTTGCATCTACATAGATTTGTTGTTTGAATTTAAGAGAAGGAAGAGTATCAGTAAGAAGTAGAAATATACGAGAAGTCTAAGAAAATAAAAGAGCAGAATATATACCAGCCTGACTTTGTGGGATAAGAAATGAAAAGGAAATATCTAAAAGAAGAAATGTGATGTTTTACATTTGGGTGAATGGAAATTGGAAATAAGAAAACAAAGGAGCCAAGACACAAAGGGAGACCAAGAATTCAGAAATGGGAAGTTAAGAAATAAGTAAGAATTGATGGACATACAGAGAGAAAAGGAAGGAAATCTCAACGTAAGATGGCAGCTGGAGAGTCAGGCTCTGGTGGCTCACACCTGTATCCTAGCTACTCTGGAGGCTGAGATCTGAGCATCACAGTTCAAAGCCAGCCCAGGAAAGTCCATGAGACCCTTATCTCTAACAAACCACCAGAAAACCAGAAGTGGTTCTGTGGCTCAAGTGGTAGAGCAGTCACCTTGAGCTGAAGAGCTGAGGGACAGGCCCAGAGTTCAAGCCCACTACCAAAAAAAAAAAAAAAAAAAAAAAGATGGCAGCTGGAGCTAGTTTACTTGCTACTGACTGTTGAAGAGAAGACAGGGGTGGCTCAGCAGCCAAATGCTGCTAACATGTACAGGGTTCAATCTTGTACAGGTTCAATCTTGTACCACCATCAAAATTAGAAAAAAAAAATTTGAACTCAATACTACAATAGTCAGCCAATCCATAAAAACATGGAAGAAGACTATAATCTGAGGGCAAGACTCATGAAAGACTGTCATTTCAGTGATGAGTCTCAGCCTAGCGGGTGCTGCTGTCTATGTGAGTACTATCAGCAGGATATACCAGGCACCTGGCTCCCAGCAGATGTTCAGTGAAGGTCTGCTGGTGACTTTGTCACTGGTCACCGTGGGCCTCCTGTGACTCTGGAATCCGCAGAAACATCCCTGTACTGCAGTTCTGTAGGACAGCCAAGCACGCAGGTGCAGGTGATATGCCATCTTCCTGGACCTCCACCAGATTCTTGGAAACTCAGACATAGGCTTGCTCCTACGAAGTGTTCACCCTTTCTTTTTCCATTCTGCCAAACAAAATCCGAGATGAAGAAGGTGGTTCTCAGGAAATAGAGCCTTCTGGGCTCCGAACAACTGGGATAACTTATATGAAAGCACTACCATGTTGATGCTTTCAACTTCACCAATTGTGAGGGTGCTTTACACTCCTCACCTGAATTCACTCTCACAACAACCTTGAGTGATGCGCATCTGATTTGCATTTCACAGGGAGGGAAGCCCAGGTATGGGAAGTGCACATTAGGCTAGGCACTTAGTAGAATGCAGACCCAACCTATGGCATCCAAGTCCTGTAGCCACCTGAGTAAGAAGGCGAGCAGAATCAGGACTTGGTTTGCTTTTGGTTTTCCCCTTTTCTTCCCCCTTTTTGCCAAGGTTTGAACTCAGGGCTTGGCCCTTGCTAGGCAGGCCTCTGGCCCCCTTCGGTGTTGAGTCATGCAAGGCCAAAGGCAGCAATGTGACTGGTTGAATGTAGTACAGCTGGCATGCAACAGCGCTCTTTAAAAACAAACATTTTAATTGACACAAAATAATTGTTTACATTTGGGAGGACCAGTGCGATATTTTCAGACACTCATACAAAGAGTCCTGAGGAAGCTGCGTGATTAGCATACCCTTCACCCCAAACATTTATGCAGTGTCTCCTTACTGACTATAAGATCCCTATCTCCTCAGCATTAACCTCATTGCTCGAGATATTTACATCCTATTTTGTTCCAGGGAATTTTAGAAATCAGCTACAATCCTAAGCAAATTAAATTAAACTCTCCTGGCAGGATATGAACATGGTAATTTATCAATTGTTTCATAATAGAGACCAGAAATTGAAATGTCACTTAGGGCATTTAGTTAAGATCTCTGCTCAACATGGGAACAATTAGCAACAGACTGCAAATAAATTCCTTGATTGCATTTGGGGATGGGAAAGTGACTTGTCACAAAGGATAAGCTGGTGATCGGGCTTGAACATCTGTCATCAGATTGGCTTTGGGTTTGATCGTTCAGGGCGGGCTGGCTGCACTGCCTTCCACCTGCATTGTTGCCTGAACAACATTCCTAAATTTGCATTCTGAGTCAAAGGTACCGAGAGTGGAAAGCTTTCTCCCATCAAGGGTATCAGAGTGTGAACCTCTCTGGAGAACAGAAATCTGTTTCCAAGAATCAGTTTTACAGTTGAGTGAATAGTTCTCTCTCATTAGTGACGGTGATTGATTAGTACAGTAAAAATGACCCTACTTTTCATACTCTGGGAGTGGGACTGTAAACTACTTTGGAGGACTTTTTTCTTATAAAGTTGAACATATGCTTAGATGTTACTCAGATATTTCACTCCTGGGCATTTATCCATGAGAACTGAAACTACAAAAAAAAAAATAAAATTGTGTAAGAATTTTCCTAGTGGTTTGTTTCTAATAGCCACCCAAGCCAGAAACAGCACAAATGTCCACCCAAAGGCAAATGGACAGATTTATATTATGTGCATACAGTAGAGCAACATTATGCAGTATAAAAACACTCATAAGACAACTTAGGGCTGGATGCTGGTGGCTCACACCTGCGATTGTAGCTACTGAGGAATCTGAGATCCAAAGGATCATGGTTTGAAGTTGGCCTAGGCAGAAAAGTTTGCTAGACCCCCCATCTTCAGAATAACCAGCAAGAAGCATGGCTCAAGTGGTTGTTAGTAAAATTAAATAAAGGGGCTGGGAAAGTGGCTCAGTGGTAGAACGCTTGCCTTGCGTGCATGAGGCCCTGGGTTCGATTCCTCAGTACCATATAAGCAAAAAGAAAAAAGCCGGAAGTGGCACTGTGGCTCAAGTGGTAGAGTGCTAGCCTTGAGCTGAAGAGCTGAGGGACAGCATCCAGGCCCTGAGTTCAGGCCCCACGACCGGACCCCCCCCCCAAAAAAGTAAAATTAAATAAAGCTCTGTATAAATTGTGTTAAGGTCCTGACAGGACTCTCATTTTTACATTTAAAAAAATACCTGATTCTATCCCTGAGATGGGAAGATGTAATACATATGTTAAGTCTAAATAGGCTTCACGTATCTGCTATGTAAAATCGATACCATGTGCCTAGGTTACTTAAGCGTTTATTGCTAGTGCAACTTGGATTCCAGAGCCAACTCCGTGAAGAAGGAACCAACCACTGCACAACATCTCGGTATAGTTGAGCTTGCGTCCTGATGCAAGTAAGGGTGATAGGTAAGAGTTTTAACCCATTTTTCCAGGGGCTTCTTAGCACAAGTGCCAAAGTCATCTTAAGCATACAATGGTTCCTTTCACGCTTTCCATGTCACATGTGATCTCTACCATACTCCAAGCACCTGGAAATCTCACCCACAGTCTTTGAACTGAAAGCAGATTCATGATCACTTTGGCTAGACTGTGGAAATCCAGTCCTGAAGATAACTGTCTTTAAAAATCCTTTTATAATTTCGCTGGCTTCTCCTGCTCTGCAATATCCATCTAATAGAAATATCTACAAAACTCTGGAGGTATTTAAATGTCCTGGGGCAGTGCATGACTGTAAAATCCCACAGGGTGTCCAGGGAGAGAAGTCTCATTGGTGGCACCCATTTTGTAACTGATCCCTTAATTAGGAGATCGAAGAGTCCAGAAAGGTTTGCTACCTGTAGTAAGTTTAGTCACTGATGATAATTCTCAAAGTGGTGTCTTCTTGGGCAAAGAAAACAAGCTTTTCCCAAAGAAAGCTTTTACTGGAGAGAGATGGTACACATTCATCTTGGAAAGACTGGTTGTCACGTGTAGAAATGAGTATGTTTCTAAGCTCGCTCACCTTGAAGTCATGCGTCCTATATTACGTGTTCTTTAAATGACAGGTGGAAATGGCTCTGGGTAGAGAATTTAGTATTCTGATGAACAAGGTTTCTTCCAGGTCCCATAATAGGGATTGGTCAGAGTGACTCATCAATGTGGGCTGGTTTCCTTTCCCATTGCTCTGCAAGGCCTTTTCTGAAACACAACAAAGCAGTTATTTCAAGGGACAGCAGCTTTGTATCTGAAAGTATAGGTCGCCACTTCCACAAGAGCCTGCCTAGGGTCTGCCTTACGGGCTCTTCAGGAAGCATTGGCCAGTACTACACACAATGCCAGGCCATTGAAGGCTTTGCAATGAGGCACGCTGACGATGCCACGGAGTCACAGGAAGCATTCCACTGCTGCTCAGAGAGGTAACTTTGTCTCCTGCTCCAGCCATGTCCCTTTGCCACATAATTTGCATATTACTTAAGTTTGATCTTAGATTAAAAAAAAAAATCTCTCTAAAAATGCAAAACATCCCCAAGATACCAATGTCTTTCTTTCTTTCTTCCTTTCCTTCCTTCCTTTCCTTCCTTCCTTCCTTCCTTTCTTTCTTTCTTTCTTTCTCTTTCTTTCTTTCTTTCTTTCTCTCTCTCTCTTTCTTTCTTTCTTGGTCATGGGGCTTGGGCGCTGTCCCTCAGCTCTTCAGCTCAAGGTGAGTGCTCTACCTCTTGAGCCACAGCACCACTTCTGGTTTTCTGAGTGGTTTATTGCTGATAAGAGTTTCACAGACTTTCCTGCCTGAGCTGGCTTTGAACCATGATCCCCAGATTTCAGCCTCCAGAGTAGCTAAGATTACAGGCATGAGCCACTGGCACCTGGCTACCAACATCTTTCATACACTGGCAGCTGTGGAACCACATTGTCTTGTGGATAGACACCTATGCTTATGATTAGAGATCATAATCACCTGGTTCTCTAGATGGTGCCTGACGTTCTCTATAATCCTGGGATGGTTCAATCCCCATGCTTGCTACATGATGCACTCCCAAAGCCGAAACTCCACCTGCTCTCAGACCCACATAGCAAACTCCACAGCTGGAGGTGCCTTCACATTTTAGATCCCAACAATCCATGACCAAAGCCCTGCCCCATATCCAGGATCTCCAGCAAGCCCTCCTTAGGTCTTTTCCGTCATCATTCTTGTTGTCCCATCTACAGTGCAGTTACGAGGCACTCATAGCTCAGACAGGGCTCAGTGGCCACAGAAAATGCAAGCTATCCTTGATTGCACTTGGCCCTGTCTGTGGCTCATTTCAACATCCTAAGGGAAATATTAACCTGATTGACTCCAAAGGGTAAAGAACTTTATGCCTGATAGCTTGAACACATACTGAGGAAGCATCTAACCTCATTTTGACCTGCAGAGGTATCTCCAGTGTAACACATGGCAGAGCAAGAGGAGAGAGAGATCAAGAGCATCAGAGCCCCTTACAGCTCTGCATTCTGGAGGATTCTACCATTCTCTTCTGCTCACACAACTGCATTTGGCCCACAAGGCTGGGTCATGATTACTCAGGATGGCCTGATATTTCTCATGGTGTTCATCTTGTAATATGTCCCATGGCCACCTGAATAAAACCAACCATTCTTCCCAGCCTTTCTTGAGCATGCTGCATCCTGATGTTGCTGCTGCCATGGACATAAATGGGTCAAGGCTGGCTTATTGCACCCAGAGCCCACTTGATTCCATCTAGAGGTCTCGAGTTCTTTCTTTCCACCAAATAAATAAATGTGTGTAGGCAGGAGAAAGAAGTGGGAGCAAAGATAAAGTTTATTTGAAAGTAAAAGTAAGATGCCAGGGAAACTGAGGTAAGCCTCTTGGCTACTGGCAGGCTGGTACAAATCCCTAACCAGGATTTCCAGCTGGGAGGGCCACCTGCTTTCTAGGTGATGAGAAGGAGGAGGAGGTAAGAGGATTTGGGGGCCTGGTGTAGGCTCGTGGCTCTTGCATAGCCCTGCAGGGTAGGTCTCAGCTGCTGCCGCATTGGGGTCAATGCCATTGCTCAGGTCTGCTCCAAGGTCATCAGGAGCTTCCTTTTCCTCCAAACCAGTATCTCAGCCTCCCAGCATCTGTAGGATGAGGAGGGGGTGTTCTTTCCACAGGGTTCCATCCCCGCTTTCCCAGAGGAGGCTGTGTTATCTCCACCAGGTGTCTTAGCTTCCGGAGACTCCAGGAAGAGGAGAAGGTGTTATTTCCACTGGGTCTCTGTCTGTTGCTATCTGCCTAAGTACTCCCCTTCTGCCTCTCCCTTGCATCCTCTGGTACTGAGGAGACCTTTGATAGCAAAGAGCCCCAGATTAACCTCTTAGGTTGAAACACGAGGGCTAAAATGTGTCACCTTGAAAGAGGGAGTGGTACCTTAGCTCAGGGCAGCAGTCAGACTCAAAAACTGCCCTGGGTGGCAATTAATTTGAACCTGAGAATCTCTACTGCTGTCTCTACTTGTCTACACCTGTATGGGCTAACTCCTTTACTTCTTATTCTAGCAAAAGCAACATTGTGAGGAAATGAGAAATTAAGACATAAATGTGGGTTGGAAGCAGCAGCTTGAACTGCCTCTCAGGAGGGTCCAAGATCAGAAAACACACGGTACACATAGATCAAGGGACTTTGGGCAGCCAGGTGATATGAGAATGGACCATCGGCACAGTCCAGAGACTTCTTACAGACTGGTGAAATCAGCCCTGGAAACACAACTCCCCCTCTCCTCCCACCGCCCCCTCCACTCACACAACCACTCTGAAGGCATTGTTGAGGTCATGTCGCCCTCTGGTGGTAAGAAGACAGTTAGCACGTTCCCCCCAGGGTGCTTTTGGTGGCCACCGGGCTGAGTTCAAATGCTAACGAGGCTCAGTATGGTGGAAGGCCTCAGGTGAATCAGCCTCATTCCCTTTTTTGGGTGGTGGGTGGGAGACATAACCCATATATCTGCTGAGAAAATAGTACATGCAATGTGCCTAGTGTGCCAGACACACATACTGGCTGCGGCACAACAGACAAAACTAGGACAGGAGAAGAAGAAAACATCCTGGGGAAAAAAATGGAAATTAATTAGCAATCTTCAGTGATACCCCATCCTCCAACTCTCCACCCAGCATCCCAGGACCATGAGTGTGATTACCATCCTTTTTCTTTTTCTTTCTTCAGTGTGCACATATCAGCCTGTGTCCTACATCGCCAAATCATGTCTCCACTCAAAAACGTTAATGACTCTTCCTCCTCTCTGACTGCATCCTCTCCAGTGTACCTGGCTGGCTGTAGAGGAGTATGCCACAGACAGACCTGTCAGGGCCTCGCTGGTGACCTGCTCAGGCCTCCGGAGCTGTGTCTGCTCTTCCCCAAATCCTCACCTCCCCCTAGGAATGCTGCTCCATTGCCTTTCTCATTCTCTACCTGAAACCACCCATTTCCATGTCTACCTGCTGACTACTCTTTGATAAGTGAGCAAGACTGTGTGGCTTAAACATGGAGAATGACTGTAGGGGGTATTTGGTCACCAGTTGAAGAACTTTGGTGTCAGAGAAACTAAAGATAGAGACGGTTCAGTCTAGAAGAGTTAATCCTGAGAATAACATGACAGAACACATAATGCACATCTGTGGGAGCAAAAAATGAGTCCAAATGTTTGTTTGAAAAGATTCTGAAAATCTAAAAGACACCCTCCTCACCCTTAGTGATCTATACATTAATTCCCTGAACCACTGCTTCCTGGACACAAACCAGTGGGGACCAAAGAAGAGCAGAGATGTTAGTAGTTATCAATTTGAAGTTTCTCTGGGGATATTTTTCTTATTTGGAACTAGGTAAAGATCACTTTGGAGGAACAAAAACAGTCATCAAAACAGGGTGGTGCTGGTATAAAGGCAGATAACAGATGAATGGTACCAAATGTGGAAATGGGACCAAAGAGGGAAGAAAAGTTTCTTATAATCTTCTGCTTCCTCCCAGAAAGGAAAGTTTCCAAAGTCTTCACTCTGAACCACTTCGAGAGTCTGCATTTACGAGAGCCTTCCGTTCTCATGAAGTCCCAAGACAGAGAGTGATGTCCTCATTTTACAGATGGCTGAGAATTGCAGCTCACACAAATGAACATCATGTGTGTGTACCAGCCGAGAGGCCACAGGAAATACTCAACTCTCCCCAGGAAACATGCCTGTTCTACTCAGTCCTGTCAACCAAGCTATTGATTACCTTTGACTGTCAGCTTCTAGAGAGGAGACCAGTAAGATGCAGGGCTTTGGTCTCATCCCTAGGATATAGCAGAGGCCTACAGGCAGTAGACAGCTAGATTAGGCCATGCTGTAGTAGAAAAGAAACTCTGCAACCCTGGCAGGTTAACATATAGCTAACATCCAGGGCTACTCCTTCCCCAATGGTGATCTGGGAGCTCAAACCATCTTTGCCTCAAATCTGTGCTGAGGCTCATCTGGCCCTCAAATCTTGTCCAAGAACAAGCACTTGCCTCTCCCATACCCAGCACCTCAGTCAGAACTGGTTGTGTGACCCTGTCTGCCTTTAACCAAATGGGAAACACTGGAAGCCTGGAGGCTGACTCCCTGCCTCCACCATGCTGAGGGAGAACACTTATTTATGACATTTACTTAGATAAATGTTTGGGCAAATCTGACACTTGGGCCTGAATTATTCTATTGTCAACTTATTAAAATCATGCTGCAGCTTTCAGAGACTCAGATGGAAATGAATCCATGATCAGGAAGAATGATAAAGGGTCTGCCATTTCTTTGACAATCTATCTTACATATGGCATAGAACCATTACCTAGAAACATTATACGACTATCAGGGGACTATGGAATATGTTCTCCTTCCAGAAATTATTTGTTAGTGGAATCATCATCTGGAAGATTTGAGTCTGTGATCACCAAATCACAAAGCTTAAGAGGGTCAATTTTCTCCACTCCAAGGTCTCCCTTCACCATTCCTGCTTTTTGGAGCATGTGTCGATGGACAGAAATGACTTCAGAAATTCACTGGGACCTGGCCATAATCAGAGACACCAGGAGGAAGGCAGAGAGACATGGTTTCCCTGATAACCTATCTGTTCCTTTCTTGTCTCTCCTGCTACTGACCTGATTAGTGCTGCTAGATCAAGCTTCAGCTATAAGATCTGACATTAGTAGAGGTATTCAAACTACTTAAGACCAGACATATGGGGATTTCTGATTCTTTCCGATTTGAGAGTATGTGTAGATGCATAATGAGTCGGAGTGTACACGATGCCCATATCGACAACCAACTAAGTTTTGTACCTATATGCCTTATACATATAGCCTAGAGGTAATTTTATGTAGCTAAAAATGCACTTTTAGCATTTTGTCCACAGTCTACTACCCTAAGTCAGGGGTGGAATTTTCCATTTGGAGTATTATTGACACTCAACACTTCTAAATTTTTCAACTGGGTTTGAACTCAGGGTCAGGGCATTCTGTCTTAACTTTTTTGTTCAAGGGTAGCGATCTACTATTGAGCCACAGCTCTACTTTGGGTTTTTTAGTGGTTAATTGGAAATAAGTCACACAGATTTTCCTGCCTGTGTTGACTTTGAACCTTTATCCTTAGATTTCAGCCTCCTGACTGGCTAGGATTAGAAGGGCCTGAGCCACCAACGCCTGGCAAATGCCCTAGATTTTGGAGCACTTTGGACTTTGGACAATTTGTAATAAAAAGAATGGAGTTCCGGGACTGTGTGTAATTTCTGGTATCTATTTGCACATTCAACTCTAAGCAAATAACAGGGTGAGGGATTCAGTGTCTCACAGGGTGCACAACTCAGTGGCCTTGGTTTCAGGAGCCTGGATCTGGCACACATTGGCAGCTCTTCCTACCACAGCAGAGAACACACCGATCTCACATTGCTGTCCGAGTGAGTCGGGATGCCAGGTCAGACCTCAGCTGGACTAATTTACTTGGATTGTCTCAGTTTTCATTATTATATCGATAAAGTGATTGAACTGTTTACCTTTTAAGTTCACTTGATTCTTGTGAGCAAATGGACTTTCATGCGAAACAATGTTTGGTCAGCAGTTAAGAACAATATTTAAGAGGTTATTATTTAATGACAAGATAAACAAGATGGGATTTTTTTTTTTGGTATTGGTTTTGTTTTTTTACTTTCTGATTGAGTTGTGATTTTGTTGAAGGAAGAGAAAAGCTGCATGTGACGGTGACATTCCAAACCTCTGAGGTGCTTGGCAAATCTGTTATACACTCTTCTGTCATAGCACCCAGTTAGTTTGTTTTTTATAATGCCTAACAGATACATTACTGTGTGATACTGAGCAAATTATGTAAACCCCAATTTCATCTGTGAATGTGAGATAATAAGATTTATGTTTGGGGATTACAACAAGGGTTAAAACATTAGTTTTAAGGGAAAGGATAAATGTTTGTGATTTTATTGTCATTATTATTAGCCATAGAAAGATGTCTTTATGCTGTCTTTAAGATTCTTTGCATAACAGAAACATCTCTCTGCTTAAGAGAATCAGAAAATGTCCAACGCTTCCGAACACAGTAGGACTGCTGGCTTCCATGCCTCCTTGTGTCCGACACTCTAGAGAACGCACAGAACTTACATGTTCCAGGCCTCAGATTATACTGGGACATCATTTGTTTGGACCTCAGAACATGGTTTCCCATGCTGTTAAAATTGTGGCAGCATTCCTAGGCAAGACACAATCGCTTCAGAGTGCTAGAAAACTGGCACACTTAACACAAATGTCCAAGGCAAATTGCCATTACCTCACACTGAAGACCACAAAAATTATGTGGTTGTTTATTTTCCATCTCATGAATGAGGGAGACTAGCAATCTTAATAAGACCAAAAGAGTTCTGTGGACTGGGGCTGGGAAGGTGGCTCAGTGGTAGAGCGCTTGCCTTGCATGCCTAAGGCCCTAGGTTCGATTCCCCAGCACCACATAAGCAAAAAGAAAAAAGCCGGAAGTAGCGCTATGGCTCAAGTGGTAGAGCGCTAGCCTTGAGCTGAAGAGCTGAGGGACAGCACCCAGGCCCAGAGTTCAGGCCCCACGACCGGACCCAAAAAAAAAAAGAGTTCTGTGGACATACAAGTAAATCCTCAGCTGCCTCTGAGTGAGCTTTCCTTCCTTTCATGGTATTTCCTCGGTGTCATGTGACTAATTGTTCTTGTTGCTCTTGACATAACACACTATGTAGCAAATGTTTTACAAATAGAGAGGGAAGGGAATGGGAGAAATTAGGGAAAGGAGAGAAGGAGTGGGAAAGATTTCCCTGACAAAAATCGGTCAGCAGTTTAGACACTGCAGCTGGGGAAGAGGCCTCGTGTGTGTGTGTGTGTGTGTGTGTGTGTGTGTGAGAGAGAGAGAGAGAGAGAGAGAGAGAGAGAGAGAGACTGCATTGTGACTGGCTAGGCTGCTAGCACGGCCAGCGGGTGCTCTAAGAACACTTGTTCTCTGATTAAAGGGAAATAGGGATGTGGCTTTTCCAACAGTTCCTACTCAGGCCGAGGTAGCAGCCCAGAGCAAGAAGAGCTTAAAAGAAGACTCCCAGGCTGTGGAATTACCAAGGCAGGCTGAGGCACCCAGCCAGTGGTTGGCAACTAACCTTAAATGCACTGGTTACAAAGCATGTAACTCCCCTGCTGAGACTACAGACTACAGAGACTACAGGTTCATTTCTTGTGGCTTTCAACTTGCATGTGGATTACATGGAAATGAGGAAGACCTGTAGCTTTTCTAATGAGATGGAGCTTGTCCCTGCCAATGTAACTAGTAAGTGCCAGTCTCTCTTCCACCCCTGACTCTGGCAGCCACAAGTACCCGTTCACAGGTGGAACAGAGGGAGTATTTTCTGTACATCCACCTTCAAGCTCAGGCCCTTTGCTGATTGTGACAAAGCAGAGTTCAAAGCCCCACGGGAGGGTTTAACAATGAAATGCAGCATAGAAAAGCCGTGTCTCTAGACATCTCAGGCCTTTGCTAAGAAGCTTGCTCTCGAGCCAGGAGCAGCTCATTCCCATTACATTGCCAGCCTACCACAGTAACCGTGAGGGTTGCATGCCCTTTTAGAAAGACCTTGGAGTCTGGAGGCCAGGAGCTGGTTCATGTGTTCATTCTGCCATCAAACTCAGGCCACGCTCCCTGTGTCTCATGTAATCAACTTGAGCGTTGAATGGTGTTCCAGTCCTGACAGAGGCTCTGTGGTCATGGTGGCCTGAGGAGCCAGGAGAATGAGCACTACCAGCCTCTGCAGATCACAGTAGTGCCAGGATGAGTGTTCTAGAACCACGGTGCACAGGCTCCTCCCCGAGGAGAAATGCTGCATCCACCTCTTACCACCAAACCAGCAGTTCTGAGGGACCCAAACATGAAGTTGGGTACAGTGGCTCACACCTTTAATCCTAGCTACTATAATCCTAGCCACCAAGTTCAGAAGGATCTGCCTGCGCAAAAAAAAAAAAAAAAAAAAAAAAAGTTCCTGAGACACCATCTCAACAGAAAACGCTGTGTGTGGTGGTGGCACCTGTCATCTTAGCTACCATGGGAAGTATAAATAGGAGGATCATGGGCCAGGGAGGGGGTCAGGGGGAGTGAAAGCCTATCTGAAAAATAACCAGGGGTTAAAAAGGGCTGGAGGGGTGGTGATTCAAGGGTAGAGCACCTGCCTAGCAACAAGAAGCCCCTGAGCTCAATACCCAATATCACACACACACACACACACACACACACACACACACACACAGAGAGAAAGAAGGCTCAAGCCAGAGACCAGAGTTGATCCTGGGCTGAAAGAATCAAGAATCAGTTCTCACACCTTTGAGTGTGGGGGGAGGGAGGGAGGGGGGTCATGGGGCTTGAACTCTGGGCCTGGGTGCTGTCCCTCAGCTCTTCAGCTCAAGTCTAGTGTTCTACTGTTTGAGCCACAGTGCCACTTGTGATTTTCTGGTGGTTCATTGGAGATAAGAGTCTCATGGACTTCCCTGCCCTGGCTAGCTTTGAACCACAATTCTCAGATCTCAGCCTCCCAAGCAGCTAGGATGACAGGTGTAAGCCACGGGCGCCCAACTTCTCACAGATTTCAACTGGGCACTTGCAGCATCTGCCAGACCCACACTCTCAAAAATAAAAAAGTAACCCTTGGTTTCTTTGGCCACCCCAAAGTCAGAACACCCTGGTCCCACTTTTACTCTCAGGACTGAGCCGGGAAGCCAGGTCCACCACTTCCCTTCCCTCGTCCCCCTAGTTTTGGGTCTCCCTGGGAGTCCCCATCTCACTGTGGCTCGTGTGGCAGCTCACAAGGACACTGAAGCAACGAGCCCCTTCTCCTCCCAGCCGGCACCGCAGCCATTGCCAAAGCCCCCTGTTCCAATCGCTTCTCCGATAAGCTGCCCTTGCTCTGCCATGGCTTGACCACCTGCAGCCACTATCTCTCCAAGTGCACGAGAGCTGTCATAATAGAAGGATTTAAGAAGGCTTTTTCAGCCAACCTTGAACAGTCTAATCTCTCAAACTGGGCCTCAGTATTATCTCTGATATTCCATGGAGAAACTTGATGCTTTTACAAGCCAAGCCAGAAGGTCTTGAAGGACACATCCCATAACTTTAAACAACGGCATCTTTAGATGGCATCAGAGGGAGGGAGACCTTGTCATCCTGTGTCCCCTGACATTTCCCACAGGATATCTCCAAGGTCATCCTACAAATACACTCTGAGAGCCCAGCGTTACTCAAGTGATACCAGCTTGCATCACAAGAAATTTTCAAAAGAAAATGACTAGATGTCTAACCTCAGCAACCGGGACTGAGGACCACAGTGCAATCTCCTGCAAAATGCCTGTCTGCTCTTTCTGAGGCCTCAGCCATGGACACTTTGGGATCTCAGATTACTAACAGGCCACAGGGATGGTTTAACATACGTAAGTCAATAAATACAATCCAACATATCAACAGAGCCAAGGTCAAGAATCACATGATTATCGCCACAGATGCAGAAAAGGCCTTTGATAAAATTCAACATTCATTCATGCTAAAAGCTCTGGAGAAAATAGGAATAGAAGGAACATTTCTTAAAACAATAAAAGCCATTTATGACAGACCAATAGCCAATATTATACTTAATGGGGAAAAGCTACAACCAATTCTCCTAAAATCAGGAACAAGGCAAGGATGCCCACTGTCTCCACTCCTCTTCAATATAGTCTTAGAACCCTTAGCCAGGGCAATAAGGCAAGAAAAAGACATTAAAGGGATCCGCATAGGGAAAGAAGAAGTTAAACTATCCCTTTTTGCAGACAACATGATACTATACCTCCACGATCCCAAAAACTCCATCCCCAAACTCTTAGAAATCATAAATCACTTCGGCAAAATAGCAGGATACAAAATAAACCCACAAAAATCAGTTGCCTTCCTATACACTGATAACGCACAGGAAGAGAGGGAAATAAAGGGAGCAACCCCATTCACAATAACCTCCCAAAAAATGAAATATTTAGGAATTAACCTAACCAAAGAGGTAAAAGAACTATTTAATGAGAACTATAAAAAGTTAAAGAAAGAAATTGCAGAAGACACTAGGAAATGGAAAGACCTCCCATGCTCCTGGATAGGCCGACTTAATATAGTAAAGATGGTAATACTTCCAAAACTAATATACAAATTCAATGCAATTCCTATTAAAATCCCAATGATGTACATCACTGAAATACAGAAAACAGTCCAAAAATTTATATGGAACAACAAAAGACCTAGAATAGCCAAAACAATTCTAGGGGATAAAGACAATATGGGAGGGCTATCCATGCCGAACTTCAAACTCTACTACAGAGCTATAATAACAAAGACAGCATGGTACTGGCACAAAAACAGACCCGAAGACCAATGGAACAGAATAGAAGATCCAG